TCAATAAGGGAAATCGAATAAATTATACCATCTTCGCGTCTCCGTGAGTTACGCAATGTGCACCTGGATATCTCAAGCGGCCCTCGTTCGGAGTTCCGACGCTGCTTCACGACAGCGCCCAGGCTTCACAACATAGCTCTTGCATGCCCCATTCTCCGAGAGAGAATGGGGCCAGCGGCAGGGTGGCGAAGCCCTGACGGATACAGGCCTTTCTCTATCACTCTCTCTCTCTCTCTCCCCCCTTGCTTACACACGCACACACACACTCTCTCTCTCTCTCGCCCTCTTTAGCTGCATATCCCCCTCTCCTGACCGCGCGGCTCCATCCCCCTTCCCCATCACACGCGCTCCGACGACAATACAAAGTGACGCCTATGCGCGTACATCCCGATTCCATCGATTTTGCCGCCCCAGTAAAAATAGGGAACGGAGGTCCTGGGTTGAAGCAGGTAAGTCTCCACAGGGTGCATCAGGTTAGCGAGGGGGGCCTCTGGCAAACCCCGAAGGCCCGTGCGAACGCAACACGGGGCTGTCGGTGTCGTTAAGAACGTCCTTTAAGTATCCCGACAATGGCACATACATACCTCAGCCGTGCGATTGCGGAGAAGAGTGAGGGGGCAGAGGGGGGCTGCCTGGCGGGGGCTGAGGGGCTCGAGCGCCAATCAGCCGCCGCCAGAGGTGACGATCTCTTTGCAAAACGGCGCGGGTAGGCCGTGGGGCACGGGGCACGAGGTTCGACGGCCAGTGTCAGGAAGCCCACAGGCGGCGACTGCGTCGGAAAACCATGTGGCTGGTCGCTGGCAGGTCGCAGGCGTGGGTCTCGGGTGGGTCGTGCGTAGATTGCGAGTTGGTCGCGGGTGGGTCGCTCGAGGGTCGCGGGTGAGTTGCGGGGTGGGCCGCGGGGTGGGCCGCGGGCAGATCGCGGAAGAGCCTCAGCACGCCGCCGAAGCGATATCTGTTCGTAAAAATGTGCAGGAAGTGTATTTCTGCGCGGGCATGTGCGGGCCAGTATGAATGCTGCACAAATTATTAGCGATCCTGGTAAGCAAACGTAGCACGCTTCATTGCATCCGAGCACCAACGTACCGTCTGTGGGAGTGCGTGCACGTACATGTAGGTGCCATTTACCAGGAAACCGTCGCGACCAATGTGTGTGTGTGTGCGTGTGAAATAAGCACTGCTGGCTTCAACTGACCCTAAAACTCTGCTGGATTAGCCCACTCGATCCCAGAGCAAAACGCCCAAGCTTGCAGCGGGTCTCAAACGCCCACGGGGCCGCACGGGGCGCATGGCGCCACGACCTGATCAAGGGGAGGCGGGGGGGAGGAGGGGGGCCCAAGGGAGGAGGGCAAGGGCCCAAGACAGTGACAAGGACAAGCGCGAGGCAGGGGCAGGGGACAGGAGGGGGGTGGGGGGGGGGGGAGAGCAAAACAAGGAGAAGCTGCAGAGACTGGGGTCCCGGAGCGGGAGGGCCACAAGGGCGGCCAACCCACGCCTGACCCCCTGCAGGTTGCGGACCTCAGCTCGGGCTTCAGGCGGCCGTTCGGAGTCATTCTGGAATCGCTAGAACGCTGTTGACGAGGCGCGGCTGATGGAAACCGCCCTCCCCCCCCCAGAACTGCCGAAGACCTCCGAAAACTGCCGGGAATCGTGGAACACTCGGCGGCTGCAGGGGCTCCGATCGCCAACTTCTTCTGCAAGGCTCCCCGGCGCAGTGTCATGCCCGACCCTGGCCTATCTATTTCTCAGACATCCGCGCGGCCCCAGAAGTCCCCAGCGCTTCCCCAGGGGCTGAGGTTCGTCCCGGACCCGTGTTCGGTGGCCCCGTGGCCCGACAGAGCCCCCCCGAGGGCCGAGACCGAGGGGCAGCAGTTGGGATTGAGAGGGTAAGATTGTCGGACGGCCGCCTCTCCCGGGGGAGGGGGGTGTCCAAGAGGGGGGGGGTCGCAATTCATGGCCTGAGGCACGTGCGCGTCCCAGGGGGGAACCAGGGGACATGAAGAGGCATGAAGAGGCACCATGAAACCTGGGGAGATAGCATGGCCCTCGCCACGAGATCCCCACCCAGTGAGGGGCAGCTGTGGGGAGGGACTGGCACAGGGGGCAAACCCGCACCTTCTCGGGCGGCTTGGGGCTGTCGGGCCCCCATCGGCGATCAAGGGACGATTGGGGTTCGATGCGCCCTCCCCCGTGCCTGTCCACCCCCCTGCCTCTGCACTTGACCCAAGCATCACCCACCCCCTGGCCGCCACCGCCTCTCCTGCATTCGCTAGAGCACCCTCGGGATCGGGACCCCCCCGACCGGGCGCGCCCAGCCCCTCGCCGCGGAAGTGGGTCCCCGCTGAGGCGGGCGCGCGGGGGCGTCAGCAGGGCGGAGGTCGTGCTGCAGCCTGCCCCACCGGAGGGGGCGGCTCGGCCGGGCCCCCCGTCCGCACGCGCTCTGCGCGCTGCCCTGGCCCCTGAACAGCTCGAAGCAGGCCCAGAGCCCTCGCGTTGTGGTAGCATCACCACGGGAAGCTCTTGGCCGTTTTCGGCCTCTGGGGGTCCTCGCCGGCCCCCGGGACCGCTAGAAAACTGCTCAGCATGAAGACCAGGTCATGGGGTGGACGCCGTGAGCAAGAACATGGCGTCGGGGGTCTGGGAGCATCCCTGTCCCTTGGTGCTGGTCTCAAGGACTCCCCACAAGTTCCGAGGGCGCACTCCCGAGATCATCGCCGACGTGGGCCTGCTGATCCCAGGGAAACGGATGAACTCGGGACTGGTTGTTTCCCTCCTCCGCTCTCCTCTCCCACACCGCCCACACCATTCCCTCCTCCGCTCCCTCCCAGCTCGTGCCGTTGAGGGCTGAACGACTGCTGTTGTCCCTTGACTCGCGCCCAAGCTTCCACGACTGATCCGACTGATCTCTGAATGTACCTGGATGATGTGCTGAGGCTTGCATCGAACTCCATCGATCTGCATCGACTCATCTGGCTCTCTTCCCGCGAATCGATCGCAGACGAGTCGTCAAGCCTTTGTGGACCAATTTTGAGAGGATGAGAACGTACCAATACCGCCAATCCCTGGACCTCTGGGGTGCGTTCTGACCAGAATTTCGAAGAGAATCCAGCCGTGGTGATGAGAGCTCTCCTGGAGGCCTAGAAAAGCGAAAACGAGGAAGGTTATCAGCATCGGTGCCGTTCCTCCTCTAACCCCCGTGGACCCATGGAGATCTCGACCCATTCCTCAGGACGACGTTTCATCCTGAATATTTGTTCGACGGTCCAGGGCCCGGGGAACGCTCCCAAAAACCGAAAATAAACATAAACCTTCTTTCGTGATTTTCTATTCTGCTCCTCTCCTCTTCTGCATTACCCCGACGCTCATTCCCTTCGCCTTTCAGCTCCGACGTCGTGACCTGCTCGGTGCCGGCACATGTCCTCCACCGTTCTGCCTCCGGGACCTCGTCTCTGGCACGCAGGGCCATCAGAACACGACCCGGGATGAAAAGCCCGTCTTCGGGCAGGGTTTAGAGGTCATGGGGCCACCTGTTGAAAGAACCACTACACGGGAGGCCTGCCTTCTCTTTTTCCTCCTCCTCCTCCTCCTGCTCCTCCTCCTCCTGCTCCTGCTCCTCCTCCTCCTCCTCCTCCTCCTCCTCCCCCTCCTCCTCCTCCTCCCCTTCCCCCCCCTCCCTCCCCCGCCTTTTCCTTTTCCTTTTCCTTTTCCTTTTCCTGTTCCTTTTCCTCGTCCATTTCCTCTTCCTCTTCCTCTTCCTCTCTTTTAAACGCTAGTCCGATCTAAGCACAGGCGGTGGCGTTCTTGAAGATACGGTCACACAACTCGTAGAGCATAGCGCAAACAGAGACAAGCAAATATGTACAAGAGAATGCACAATGAACAAAACGTAAGCGAGCAGTGTACGCGGATCGGAAAAGGGAGGAACATGAATGAGTAGAAAAGAGAAGGTCCGCAAGAGGGCAAGTAGCACGCGCAGTCAAGTCCATCGTCCAACCAAACCATAGTTACTCCTTCTCCTCCTCCTCCTCCTCCTCCTCCTCCTCCTCCTCCTCCTCCTCCCGCTCCCCCCCTTCCTCCTCCTCCTCCCCCACCTGCCCCTTCCTCCTCCTCCTCCTCCTCCTCCTTTTCCTCTTCTTCCTCCTCCTCCTCCTCCTTCTCCTCACCCTCCTCCTCCCCCTCCCTCTCCTCCCTCCTCCTCCTTCGTCAGCTCCTCCTCCTCTCCTCCTCCTCTTCCTTCATCCTCATCCTCATCCTCCTCCTCCTCCTCCTCCTCTCCTCCTCCTCTCATCATCTCATCCTCATCCTCATCCTCATCCTCATCCTCATCATAATCATCATCATCATCATCATCATCATCATCATCATCATCATCATCATCATCATCATCATCATCATCATCATCATCATCATCATCATCATCATCATCATCATCATCATCATCATCATCATCATCATCATCCTTGTCTTGTTCCACCTCGTCCGTCGCGCCTTCGCCGTCCTCCTGGTTCTCACCCTAGTCCTGGATTTAGAGTGCGGCCATGTGTGGCCTGCCCCACCTGATAATGTGAAAGATTGGTTGGCGTTCCTTCATTCGTGATGTAAACCTATACCCATGTCAGACAGAGAATGCTCGCAGAAGCGCGATGCTAATACCCCTGCATCCAAAGACGATGTCGCCGTATCGTCATTCATGTGGACGCAATGCATTGCGATTACCTGGAAAACGCGATCCACCACACCATCCTCGCCGGAACTAGCGGCCCAGGCCCCTGGCGACCCCCTCCGCCATGCGCCACCCAAAAAACCATTGCATTACAGGCGGCCTGGTGGCAGTCGCGAGTGCTGCTTTGGCCGAGAGTACTGCGTTGCAACAACAACACTCCTCTGGGAGCAATCTTCCTCTGAACACGACCACGCTGACAGTCGCACACGATCACAGAGCTCGTGACCCAATAGTTCCAGTGGCGGACGGCGGATGTCATCGTCGAAGCCGTTTTCTCGCAGCAGGACCCCTGGGTCGCTTGCATGGCGCCTCGCGTGCGTCTTCTCGAGCCGCGTCGGGCTCTGGGGCTAGAACCGGCAAGCTCCGCGGTTGACAAACATGGTAGCAAAAGGGTAGAACAACATATCCAATCCATAAATTTCGTTTCGCTAAATCGTCTCGTCGTTTCCGCTATTTTATATCGAACGAGGTACTCATAGAACACGTCTCCCGAATGAGAATAACTACGAGGCCTCAACAGACTGCAGCATATCGGAGCGCCGTCGCTTGCAGTACTCCCACCATTCGCTAGACCGGAGGACTTTGCTTTGGGCTAGGAAATTGCGCCCGCAATGCCCTCGAGGAGACTTCTCCTGTGAACTATGTTTAAATACCGTACTGAGGACCTGGCTCCAGACTGCATGCGAATAGTTGCGTACATTCCTGTGCTGTAAGATCCTCGTTTGAATGCGCCACACCACGCTTCTCCTTCCTCCTGCCTGTTCCTCCTTTAACCTTCTTCCTTCCACCGCTAATCTCCTACGTCCTACCTCCTACCTCTACCTCTACCTCCTCCTCCCCCTCCTCCTCCTCGTCCTCATCCATCCCTGTCAGCATCAGCATCAGCATCAGCATCATCATCATCGTCATCATCACCACCATCATCAACAGCATCAACATCAGCACCAGCACCAGCAGCAGCATCAGCATCACCACCATCAACAGCATCAACATCAGCACCAGCACCAGCAGCAGCATCAGCATCAGCATCATCATCATCATCATCATCATCATCAGCATCATCATCACCAGCACCATCGTAATCCTAATCATCACCATCATCGTCATCATCACCACCACCATCATCATCATCATCACCACCATCATCACAATCATCAGTATCATTATCATCGTCATAATCACAATCCTAATCATCATCATCATCAGCATCATCAGTATCATTATCAGTATCATCATCAACATTATCATCATCATCATCATCATCATCATCATCATCATCATCATCATCATCATTATCATAATATCCATCAGCAACATCACCACCACCATCATTATCATCACCACCATCAGCATCATCATCGGCAGCATGAGCATCATCATCAGCATCAGCATCATCATCAGCATCAGCATCATCATCAGCATCAGCATCAGCATCAGCATCATCATCGTCATCATCATCACCACCATCATCATCATCACCATCATCAACAGCATCAACATCAGCACCAGCACCAGCAGCAGCATCAGCATCATCATCATCAGTATCATCATCATCATCATCAGCAGCATCATCATCACCAGCATCATCGTAATCATAATCATCACCATCATCATCGTCATCATCATCACCACCACCATGACCATCACCACCATCATCACATTCATCAGTATCATCATCATCGTCATAATCACAATCCTAATCATCATCATCACCATCATCATCATCATCATTATCATAATAACCATCATCACCACCGCCATCATTATCATCACCACCATCAGCATCATCATCAGCAGCATGAGCATCATCATCATCATAAGCATGAGCATCAGCATCATCAGCATCAGCATCAGCATCAGTATCATCACCATCATCATCATCCTCATCCTCATCCTCATCCTCCTCATCCTCATCCTCATCCTCATCCTCATCCTCGCCCACTTCGGCACACCCCTCACGCGGAGCGTGCCCCACGGGGAGCTCCACATACGGCTCCAGCGGGTGCGTCTACCACGAATGCGTCCGCGTGGCGGCACCGCACCTACAAATCGGCGCACATCTCACGCGGACCGTGCTCAACAAGGAGCTCCGCCGACGGCCCCAGCGGGTGCGTCCGCGCTGGCAGCACAACGCCCAATTCGGCGCACCTCTCCTGCGGACCGTCCTCCCCCGCATGGACCTCCGCCCGACGGCCTCCGCGGGCGCATCCCTGCGGGGCCTCCGAATTCGGCACGCCCCTCGCGCGGATCGTGCCCAGTAGCGAATTTCGGCTCGCATTTGCTGCTCCGCATCCCCCTAGCCGCACTGTGCCGCACTCTCCCGCGGCGCCGTAGGGCGGCACTCTGCACTACGCGCAGGTCGGGCCGTGTCCTTTGCCATTGCATCGGGCGCTGCGGCCGTGCCAGAACATTCAGGAACGCTCTGAGAGCGATGGAGCGATTTACCCTCATCCTAGGCCTGCCTAATGGTATCCCCTCCCTACATGCCTTCCCCTGCCCTCTCCCCACGGCCCCCGACCCGAAACCATCGCACCGAGAGCAGCTATTATCCGTGCCTCTGGAAGCAAGGCGAAGGAAGCGGGGCGGGGAAGAAAACAGACAAACGAAACGGAAAGGCTGGCCGACGACAACTTGGACAAGGTCAGGGGCGACGGCAACCAACCATGGAAACCGAGCCCAATCCCAAGTGCCCACCACTGGGGTACGTCCCCGCGGTGCAGGCGGCGCTGCGCATGCCGGAGTCGTCGCTTGAGGAGGCCACCGGATTCGGGGAAGGCCTTGGTGGAGCAGCCAAGTGGTGACGGCGGAAGGCAGGGTAGAGGGCGTCTTGTCATCTACCCCCACGTCCTCGCCTTCCTCGTTTTCCATTTTCTCTACCTCCACAGCCTGCTGCTCCTCCGCCTCTTCCTCTCCCCCCTCCTCCTCCAGGTGATCCTTCAATAAAAAGCAGGATGAGGACCATATGGTAATTTTTGGGAAGGTAGATGAAAGATGGCGCACCCTCCACAAGACTGATCAGATCTTGTTTTAGGTGCGATTGTGGATTGCCGAATCCCCCAGAATCCAACAAAAATAGGGCGCCAGCGTCTTGAGCCAGACGCCGGCGGGATACTCGCTATGCTCGCTATCAAACACATACCTCCGAACCCCTGTATCAGAGTCGAAGGGGGAGGAGACGAGCAGGGCGGGCATCAAGTTCAAGCTTCAATTTGGCTGAAAATGCGCAGAGACTCACGATGATTCGTGCCCAGCCGGCCAAAGCCAGGCTGCTGCAAAGAGGCGGCAGGACACGACCTAGCCATGAACCGAGGCCGAACCTGCAAAATAGTAAATGCAGACAGCAGGAGCTGGCCTGGCCAAGTGCCAGCGACAGCCCTGCGGGGTCCAAAAATGGGCGGGCCCAAAAACCACGCACGCAGCGTAAAAGAGTAGAAGAATACAGGGATAATATTACAAGCAGAGATGCTAAAATACAGACTTTGTCTCACAACGTGTATCCGCGCATAATGGGAGCATTCCGCCGGCTCGTAATGAGCCGGGCTCCACCTTCGAGGTCAGAGCACTGTAAGGCGTGTAACTTTTTGCTCGTGTTTACACGATTGCGTTCTCGCCATTACCTGTAGTAACAGATCCCGTTGTATGCTTCCTTTGGTGTGTACATGGCAATCATATCCCGTGTCACACACTTGTACGCTGTGCGCGATAAGCCTGTCCATCATTTGCCTTATCCAGTCAGCAACGCCCTTGCAGCGTACATTATGTAGGCTTCTTAAGATCCGAACTGGAAAACGATTTAACACCGACGCAGCGTCAACGGCAATGATAACTTTGACACATAGACCGCCCATCTCAAGTATATATTTGGGTTGTGTAGGTGTGAGCGGTTCCGCCTTTAGCTCATGTAGGGCAGCGATGGTCGGGTAGCAGTCCTCTCTACGCTATGGGCTGCTGGGAACGCTTCCGCAGAGTAGCTATGAGTCGCGTGACGTTACCTGTATCCATCAGGCGCGAGACGGAGTTGCCATTGCGCGTGAGTCCTCGTCGGAGTAAATTTGTATATATATATATATGTATGTAATGCCATATCCTTTCCACCGTCGGTAGCCGGAGTCGCCGTGCACATCGACTTCTCCGGTCGCTTTCATAGCCGGATAGACTATCTTCCGAGACTGGCACTGACGTACACGCGCGATTGCGTCGGGCCACCGCGCCAGGATGTCAGCGGATTCTTGCGCCCGCCGTTGGGGGGCGACGCGCGCCGTCAGCCAGACCTGGGCCATAAGAGCGCGCGCTAATGCTCCGCGGAGGCTAACGAACATGTCTGCGACAAGTTTCCTGCTTCCGCCCCGGCCCCCGCGCCGGCGAGGTCGGGGCGTTGGATGAGATGAAGTTGTTATGTACCCGCCCTGATCTAAAGATATCTAAAGTAACGTCTCCGTCGTCATTCTTCGCGCATCTGACGGCGCAATTGGTAAGTGCGTTAAGCTTGACTGCGCCGAACGCGTTTTCGACTGGTTTCATGCAACGATCGATAATTTCCTCTTTTCCAAACACGTGGATATCGTCTACGTGTTTGGCCGTCAGAAGCGCCTCCGCCGCTTCGAGCTCCTCGTCGCAAGACGCGACTCGCAGTCCGAAGCCGCGCGCAATGTTGCGAAGCTTCAGGGGAAAGACGCGCGGAGCGTCCTTCGTCCCAGCGCCTGCCTTCAAGCGCAGCAGGCAGCGCCGACTCTCGTCGTAGTTCTCAAGCTCTGGAAGAGTTCTCAACGCGGCTGCTGAGCCAGGTGGCAGTGAAGCATGCGATGCGTTCCCGCTCTCCAGTGGCTTCAGCAAGCTCGCGGTTGGCATGACTTTTTGAGGAACGCCTGATCCACGTCCATAGACGCGATGATCCAGTCAGGATCGCGCGCGCCTTCACTGGCCAATAAGCGCGAACTTGACCTTCTGGCCGTTCCTGAGAAGGTTTCGACATCAAAAGCTTCTGCGTCCATGATGCCTCGCAGAACAAGTCTCAGCCGGATTGTTCCGACCACTTCTCCTGTGTCGTTCGTGGCGAACTTCACCTCATATACGTAGCGAGATGTCACTGCGTTTGAAGCATCTGAAAGTGATGCCATCTTGATACGTTCGCTGTCAAGCCAGATATGTAGCTGTACCGTCCTGAACTGGATGGGCAACGATTTCAGCCTCGGTTAGCAGGTCGCCTTCCTTTAGCGCCGCCGCTCGTTCAGCCGCTGCGGAGACGTATATCCGCATTGTTGCAATGCTGCCGCGCTGCAGTAGACTGCGCTGCTGTTCCGCGAGCACGACCTTGGCCATGTCAGCCATCGTACATAACTTGATATACTGACCAGATTTGTCACTGTCAACCGCATAGTCTTCGTCAAAATGTGGAATCGCGGAGACATCATGCACATCTTTGTCGTGGTATGGGTCTCTGCGATGCCGAGTACCTGGGTCATCGTTAGCTGCGGTGATCAGGACCGTCTGGTTTGATACCATCCTAGTAAGAACAATGCAAGGTGGTTCAAGTGTTGTGGTCTCGAGAAACCCGCGTCCGTCTTGGAGTTCGGTGCGCCGGGTGTCAAAGTCATCGGCCTCGAGGTGAGCTTCTGATTCTTGTTGAATCGTAGGGGCGCGTCCTGCAGGCGGAGGCATCTCGCTCTCAGGCGGCCCCGCTGGTTCAGCGCCACCGCTCGGAGCAGGGCCGTCTGCATTTTCTTCGGAGCTTCGGATTTCGAGATCCTCATCGAAGCCGGCCTGATGCTTGGATGATTTCAATCACTGTATTACCCTGACATGTGCAGGCCCAATGATTGCGCGCACATCGAGGGCTGCGCCGTTTGACTCGTAGCAGCGGAACCCTGGTGTGACGCCGTTGTCGAAGTGAACCAGGGTGCAACTGCCAACGTAATTAACGGATGATAGCCGATGAACACTCTTGGGAAGTCGGACTATGGCCACGTTCTCGATCCTGAAATAATTTCGGATCACGCACTGTAGTGCTAGGTGTGCCTCAGGTGATAGCTAACTGGCAGCGGTCATTCGCAAGTATCCATGCTTTGTCGGTAGGCATCCAATGGTCATCGCAGGCCCCCCTGCAGGTAGACTTGCGATAAGAGGCAAATACAGTTCGGAGCGCCGCACTATCTGATCCGAGCTCTCGGACCATTAGCACTTCAATGTACAGACTGTACCTTAAGCAAAGGTATTCAACAGCGACTTCGCGGTTGCCGACTCTCATTGTAGCTTGACCCCTTTTCAGGGTCGTTGCGTGCGACTGGGTATGGTCCGTTGCAACCTCCCCAGTTGTTTTTAGTTGTGGTGGGCCGGTGGGAATCAACCAAACTACCATCGCGATGGAGTGTCTCGCCTGGTGGTGTTGTTTTGGTGCGCAGTGCTTTGTTAGTTAGCTTTCACAACTTCAGTAGCTTGTTTGATCGCTTCCACGCTGATTCCCGCATGCGCTGTTTTCGCGAGGTGGTCAAACGTTTCAGTCTGTTGTTCGTGGTCCAGCGCTGGCATGCCAGGCAGACGTGCTGGCTGGCGTGCGTACAACTCTCGGCGTGAAGATACTCCATAGTAAAACGTTCAAACGCCGGTCACGAACACCGCTTCATGCAGTAGACGGGCGATGATCAATGGTATGTTGTGTCGTTGCAATCTTCCTCCATCACGCGCATGGCCTGTCGCAAAGTTCCACTTCTGGGTTCTACCGTCGTAGCGCGTTGTCCTCGTGATCGGGCCCTAAGCTCGGTGCCCTTATGTTTGAGAATGTCTCGAGCTGCGCCGTTGTTAAGACCGCCCTCTCCATCTGATTACAAGATCTTGACTGGGCAGCGCTGCAACCGCGTTTAGCGGCGAGCGCCCAGCACCAAAGTCATGGATTTGTCGAGGATTCCATGACCAGCTGCAAAGAAAAACAACGGTTTATAACGTGGAACACTATGTGCGTCTCATAAAAGAACCATTCACGCTCGCACTCCTCGTGAAAGTCCCCTGGTAAGGCCACCTGCGGCACGGCGGCGTTACCCGGCATCCCCCATGCTCGGCATCCCCGACACGAGTCGCACGCGCCTTTGATGAGGTTAAGCATATTCACTGTCAAGGCTCCAGGCCTATCTTCGCGAGGATACGTCTCACCTTGGGCCGCTTAGCACGATGCCACCGTGCGCGTAGCTTTCGGGGCTCTTTGGTGAATGGATCGAAGCTTTGGAGGTTTTGCCAACTGACTTGGACATCAAGACGAATCCAATCAGGGAGTTTAGGCGCAGGCGTTTCCGCGGCAACTTCAGTCGTGGGCGCCAGGGGCGGTGGCTCGCCGCTTTGCATGCGTCCCCGCCGACCGTTAACACGTCTGGCGCAACCATTCGGATGGTATCTGCACGCGCATGGCACCCCTGCTTCTACCCTCGTTCGATGCGCGCTTCAATTGGGCACGCCATTTCAGGGGTCGAAAACTCAGGAACCGGCGGCAGCCCAAAGAGCAGGGAAGGAGAATAACAATCATCTTGGATGCTGAAAAAGCTATCATGCTTTGGGCGTGTCCGCTGATCTCCCACAAGTAGCACGGGTTCTGGGTCTTCCCAGTAACTATCGGCGCGTACATAATTAATCCCTTTCGGGGATTGTGAGCAACAGTCGCAGCCGGTAAGCTGATCCTTGATTTTGACGGACTGTATCAACTTATTTGCGTCAAACTCGTGCGTAACTGTTCGTGGCGAGGTCCCAGCGCTTGGGTCCTCGAATTACGTTCCGATCAATGCGAGTACGTATA